ACTTTGGTGTCGGAATTAGTTACGCGTGCCGCCAATCCTCGATAGCCCTCCACCGGATTGCGAGACCGGGGGAAAAAGCGTCGCAATATTTATATAATTTTTTAATCATATAAAAATAAAAAAACTTTAACTGACCCTTAAGTCTTGTAATTTATTTGGAATGAGGATGTTACCACATCGAGAATCACTCTTATATTCATCATTTTCTTCGTCACAGTCTTCACGCGCAACATTGCTGAAACTACTCTCATTATCACTTGGTTGCTTCGTATGAGTATCTGTTGTTGTGAAATCTTCGTCAATCCCACTAGTTAGGCACACTTCAGAGATGGAGTCGTCGACAGCACTTGTGTTACTCGGGACTGTAAAAAAATCTGCGGAATGCTTTCCTAATATATATCTTCTCAATCGATAACGAATATCCAAGGCTGTTGGCTTATCGTTTGTAGCTCCCATTGCTCGCAAGTAGGAAAACAGATTTTCAAGCACGTCTTGATTCAAACGATTTGTCATAATATAAGACATGTCAGTGTTGAACCTTTCTTTTAAGTCATTGAAAAGATTTACCAGCGAAGAATTACTAATGATAATTCCCTTTTGAAATGGAACCAACGTCTTCCATTTGCCGACTCTCATTTCTTCAATTGTTGACGTCATTTTTCGAAGAACTTCATTTTGTCGAGAAAGATCTACGCCATAACTGTGTATTCCAGGATGAGCTCCGTATTTTCCAACGCTGTTGAAGACATCGAACCAGTCATTCACCATTCTTACGAACGCAGCAGTTTTTTCCCATTCAAGACAAGCATCCATGATTCCACGCGAACCACACCGCATTCGATCGCAGCCGCATTTGTGGCCGAAAATAGCTGAGTAGCAAGCTTGACGTTTTGGCGTTGTGGTCCGGTTACGTTTAGATAAGTTTCAGATAATTTAAACGCAATTTTTAACTCGCCACTGTTGATTTGCAAGAGCCTCGACAGAGCGGCAGAAGTTAAGTGATGTCCGTCTATGTGAAACCCAGAGTCTAGGAAATGATTACGTACCAACTTTACGAGGTGTGGAACATCAACGAATACATAGATCTTGACAGAAGCTTCACAAGGATGCATGAAATATGTCTTGTGATGTTCATCGTGTCCAACATTCAACGATTTCCATAACTTTTGATTGGCATTACCCAGGTCGCTCGTCATAGCAAAAACAGTGTAATCACTTGCATGTAATTGGGTTATGACGTCTATTAATAAATCTTTCGTTACATCCTGGTCAAACCCGTAATAAACGGCCGGGCTGTTTCCACTTTTTAAATATTCCGCGTGCAATAAGCACTTGACACCTTTTGTGAGGACCAACGACACGTTCAGTTTTTCTTTCAATTTGCATTTGATTTGTTAAATAAATCTCATCAAAACAAATTACTGTTGCTCTCTCCATTGGCGTCATGCTGCTACTTTTCGCTTTCATTATGGACAAAACGTCAGTCAGAATGCCTTCGTTGATGTTAAAATCAGTAATCCACTTGCGAAGAGTGGACGGTGCAGGCAAGGGAATCTGCTTCAACTTCCTAATATATCTATATGCTTTTGGACTGACGCTCTTGAATGATATTGCTGCGGCGATATCTTCTTGAGACCAGCGGGTTTTCTGCTGTTTCGGGTTCATGTACATTCTTATTTGAGCCGGCGTAAAGAAGGGACTAAGCATGTTTTTAACTTTTTTTGCAACGTTTTGCTGCAGTTGTTTTTTTTGTCGCTTATTAATTGTTGCCAATCGACGTTTTAGTAACTTCGTCTCAGAAACTGAAGCAGCAAGTGCTTTTTTAAGTTTTCTGTTTTCTTTTTTCAACAGAAGCATCGCATCGCTTTCCTGTGCCACGCCTATAAAAGCAGAAAAACAAAAAAGATACATAACGTAATTTTTGTAACAATCGGTTATACATAAGTAACTTATATTAACATAAATATGAAAAGTGTATATAAAATTTCATAAAAAAGTAACACAAATTAAAAAGTAAAGGTTATGCAAAAATTACAGTAACTTGAAAAGTATAATATATGAAAAAAACAAACTTACATTGACCTTCCTTTTTACTCTTCCTTGTTGACCTAGACGTGCTTGGAGTTACTGTGTTGGACAAAACAGAGTTACATGCTGCACTCTCTGCCTGCATAGAAGTGCAATCAATTCGTTCATTCTTTGTACAAGTCGATGTTCTTACTGTCATAGAATGTGACAAATTTTCATCGTTGCTTGCGACAGCAACTAGCTGTACGAAATTCGACTCGCAAGGCTGATCCCGATTTGTGCCATGATCAGTGCTTGTCACATTTCTCTGTGTATCATCTGTTCCTAAAAATCGTATCATTTATATTACAATTCAATACTTATGTTATAAATGATTTTTAATTCACAAATGTATACTTAGAATTTAGGTTACATTTAGTAACATGTAAAGTTACGAATATTTCAGAAATTGTATTGGACTCACAAATGAATTGGAAAATATTGATTTGGAATACAAACACGTTTGTAGCAAGAATTATGGATAATATGTAAGAACCTGAAATATTGTCAATACTTACTCGATTCTGTGTTGACACTATGATCTACTATCGATGCCATTGGAACCGCATCAGGAAGTAGTTTTTTTGAGACTCTTCCCGAGTCTCCTACTAAATTTTTAAGCCATGTCTTATCTTGGAATTGACCAGGTAGAAAATGTTCTGAACAAACTCGAGCTGCAAAAAACGTTACATAATTTTTATGTATTTTACATATGCAAATTAATAAATATTTTATATATTTTTACAAAGCATATGTAGCACGTTTTTATTCATATTAATTACACAAGTATTTTTTAAATTCATAAACAAAATTCATACAATAATATTGTACACTTACCAGAAGTAGGGTTAATGTTCTCTTTGCAGAAAACTTTCCACTTTTCTATCATTTCCGTCTTCCTCGGAAATCCCAAGAAAGTAATGTTTCGGTTTTTTGCGTTTCGCGTGTTGTTTTTACAATTTTTTATTGAACACGACGGCATTATTTACAAATTTTGCACTTCTGACTGTGTACTAACTCACGGAAACACACCGACACAAGAATCTGTTAGTATGAGTTCAAAATGGACGATTTTTGTCACGATGCGCAGAACAGACGAAAATGTGTCCGTAATACGAGCACACCTTATTACTTCCACCATGCGGTTGATATGCGGAGGGCGCATCGGGCGCTTGGTAACTAGAGAGTTACTAGGGATCGTGTAGCGCGAGCCGCGCTTTTAACGGTCGCCGTGCACGTCCGTACAAGTCCGTGCAAGAGCAGTCTCGAATAGTCCTGAGAAGAGCCAAGTCGCAATTACGTTCGTTCCCGCAAATACCTTTGTACCAGTTATCAAATATACACATATACCAAGAGTCATCTCTCAATTAATTCGACCATCCTTACATATATATGTGAAAAAAATATAGAAATAAATAGTCAGTTTTGGTCTTGTTTATACTGATTGTTTGTTACGTCTACCAACTTTATAATAATTTTATACTAAATTACTCTTTCAGTGATATATGCAAATGATGATGTATTAAAGCCGTACAATACTATAGCTTCTCTTCAACAAATCGTCTTCATGCATATTGTACCAGCTTTATACTTTTTTAGTTTACATATTTTGCCAAATTTTGAGGTTATTTTATAGAAAGTTACACTGTTTGGTACCATATCGAAATAATAGCATTGACGAACCTTGATGATATTTTTGATGTCCAAAGACAAAAGTCTATTATAGAACGTAGATAGAACGTATATGTTTTTATTTTTGTATAGTCTGTTGTAAAGTCTAATAGACAAATACATAAATGTACAATTTTTTACCTATATAAATTTTTGATTCGTGAATGGTTGTAATTTTGCATACAATACTACAAGGTTCTACAGAAAACGACAAAATTCTTAAGCCTTTTACAACTCGTAAATTCATGAAAATCTACATAAATTTGCTTTTTTTAGATGTTTATAAGATACTACAATTTTACATGGAAATTAACAGACCTTCAACCAAACCAACCTTTCCATAGAAAGGTTAAAGGTTTGGTTGAAGATCGATCGCGGTCGTTACCTCCGGCGCCGCTCGGGCAAAAATTTTTCAAGTTCCGCGCGGCGTGTTGCTTTCCCTCGCGGTCGTTACCTCCGGTTTTAGACATGTGTGTATGTAGTGCTGGGTAAGGTTTTTTTTATAATGACTCGCTTTTTATTTTACAGATCAGTTAGAATAAAGAAGTTTTTTTTCTTTTTGTAATCGCGCGGCGCGACTTTGGCCCAATAGGCCTATTTTGTAATGAGCCGGCACTGGTTTCTGACATTCACCCGACGCGACATTAAGAAAAAATTATATTCGAATATCCGATTCGAAATTTTATTACTCTTTTTAAACTGAATTTGTTTCTTAAGAATTTTTGAAAAATTATATATTTGCACTGGTTATGACACATGTAGACTATATATTTATATTTTTATATTTAATATTTCAACATATATTTTTGTTTTTCTTTTTTCTGTACGCAGTTAATTATAATATGAAAAAGGGTCAGCTTAGTAATACAAGTGGGGTTTTACAATTGACCCAATGTCAAATCAATAATGACTTTGGGAGTTCAGGCTACATGGTCCATATATGGACTTTTGTATATAGATCTTTGATCGCGTATAAAGCTGGATCTAATCGACCAAATTTTAAAGAATTATATCTAAAATAGGGGTAGAAAAGACTGAAGAATTTAATAAAATTAGAAACAGCCCAATATCTCAAAATTTGCCGAAGTTAGAGCAACCACAAACATTTCTACAAAAATTCTAAATTTTATTAAAAAAGAATTGCTTTACCGATCATCGCCAAATTAAATCCCAACTTTCCTTACATCATACTCTATCGATTAAAAAAAATGCATCCCGATATCTAAAAAATTACGGAAGTTAGAGCATAAACGGACAACAAAAGCGTTACAAACACACACACACACACACACACACACACACACACACATACACACACACACACACACACACACACGGACATTTTGTACAGAAGTGATTTTGATGACGTTTTGGTGACGTTTTAGAACATTCTATAAACACTGCCAAAGATACCTGAAAAAATTTTTTTCACGAAGACAAAGCTTTCTCTATGAGGAAGCGATAATGAAGTCGAAGAAAATTCTTCAGATGTTACCTTAGTACACCAATATGTAATTTGCACTTCTGGCACAATACATGATAACCGTTTTATAAAATTGAATGAAGAAATAATTGGGGAAAGTTCTACAAATATTATACCAGTATGTCAGCAATGCCACGCAAATCATTAATCCCATTATCGGTCACAAAAAAAACAACAAGCTTGTTTATAGATATTGATAGAACGTTAATTAATGATATAAATAAATATTACATTAGTTTCATGGATGTGATTTTATATTGCATTGCAATACAAAACATTTTGCAACTGAAAAAATATCTAATAAGAGAGATTATCTTTCATGATTGTTGTTATCATGGTGCAGTATATTTGGAATCTTTATCTCAACCTCAACAATTTCTTCGTGGTTTATTCGATGGTAGTTGTGGCGGCTGCAAGCGCACCGAATCTGGTGGCGCAACCGCCACAACACAAGCGCGCCCCGCGCCTGCCAGACGGCAGCCCGTCATACACACCTCGGCCGGCGAGAGCACCGGCGGCACGGCGAACGGCCGCACGCAACGAGCACGTGCAATCAGCAAGCCGTCGAAGATAATAACAAATACGCTCCGCTAGGCGGCTGCCCTTTCTCGTAAGAGAAATTCAGCGACCAGGATATAAAAGGACCGGCAAGCGACGATACCTTCGACTATCCTCGCACAGCTATACGAGACAGTATCAGCCACGAGAAGGAAGTCTTTTTGATAACGCTGCGCAAGTACAATCGTACCAGGCCGCCAACTTCCCGCTCATCGCTGCCGACACATCAGCCCGTGCAGCCGCAGGAACAGCAACCTGCCGCGTGGAAATTGATTCGGCTCGAATCACCGTCACGGCCTCTCACTCGACCTCCACGGGCTCTCCTGACTACGTGGGACATACGCCTCCGCCGCTACACGTCTCCAAGGTACACGGTCCCGCCGCTCCTGTCTCCGTTACCGCGATCTCCCGGAGACCTC